GGGGATCTGCAGTGGCGGCACCTTGGGCCCAGGACAGCTACAGAGGAACACAGGAAACAAAACAACGGGGGCAACATGACACATCATGTGTTTTCGCATGACAAATCGGAAGAAAACGATGCAGACCTGTGACAAGTCGGTACTTTTATGGTGCAGACGTTCCACACTTTGAATCGTTTTGTAGCAGCTTTCGCAACACATATTTCTTGTTGTTGCGACCTGACACAAGGATTTCAAGTGAGGGTGATCTGCCGTGGCCTCCACACTCAGAATCCTTGTGTAGCAACCTTTGCACAAAGAATCCTTTCGTGGCGGCCTTACCAGCAAGGTTTTCATTGTTGGGGAGATCTGCAATGTCGGCACCTTGAGCGCAGGAGCGCTGTAGAGGAAAACGATCATAACAAGAGAAACATTGAAACGCGTGTGTCTTCATATGTGAAAATAAGAGGCAGCTAAGAAGACCTGCGACTGTCGGTACGATTGCAAGTTTCGGAACAAATTAGCGAACACTCATGCCACATTCATCCGTCAACGCCTCCCCCTCCCCCCAATGTTCAAAGTTGGCGGTGGGTCTGATGAGATGCACTTCGACCGCAGTGTCCCCCGCGCGTGCCAACATTGAGTTCGGGGGGAGGGGGAGTGTTCAATAATTGGTTCCCTCTATCGTATGGTGCAGGCGCTACACACATACACTATTTGTTGTAACAGCCTTTACACAAGGATTTTTTCGTGGCGACCTTAAAAAATCTTTGAAATGTGGGGGCCTGCAGTGGCCTCCACACTTAGAATCCTTTTGTAACAACGTTAGGAAAAAATAATTCATTTTGTGGCGGCCTTGCGCAATTGTTTTAATAGTGGGGGGATCTGCACGTAAGGAATTCTTCTTTAAAGGCTGTTACAAAAGCATTGTACGTGCGGAGGCCACTTCAGGCCCCCCATACTTAAAATCCTTGTGTACGGTCGTCGCAAAACTTGCTGCTTACTTCCCGTTTGCCCACGTGAAAGCATTTTTTTCCTCTCCGGTTTTCCTCTCTAGCTTTCCCGGGGCGAAGGTGCCGCCACTGCAGACCCACCCGCAATGAAATCCTTTTTGCAAGGCCGCCACAACATGATTCCCCCTGTAGAGGCTGTTACGCAATGGTTCTAAGTGTGAAGGCCAGTGCAGGCCCCCACGCTTGTTGGGCAAAGTCGCCACACATTTTTGTGTAAAGGCTGCTACGGAAAAGTGATCTTGAGTGTGGAACGTCTGCGCCATAAAACTTCAGACGGTCACGAATCTTCCTAGCTATCTCGTATTTCCGACTGAAAGCACAAGCTTTTCCTTTTTTCCCCCACGTTTTCGTCTCTAGCTTTGCTGGGTTCAAAGTGCCGCCAGTGCACATCCACCCGCAATAAACATCGTTTCGTGAGGCCGCCACACAAGGAATTCTTTTGTAAAGGCGGTTACAACAAAAGGATTCTAAATGTGGGGCCCCGTGCAGGCTCCCCGCACTTGAAATCCTGGTGCATGGTCGCCACAAGAGGAATCCTTTTGTGCGGGCTGCTGCAAAAATATTTTGGTTGTGGAACGTCTGCGCCATAACAATACCCAGAGTCGCAAGACTTCCTAGCTTTTCCTATTTTCTGATTTGAAAACGTAGCAATTTTCCGGGTTTCAATTTTTATGTTCTTGTTTTCCTCTCCAGCATTCCTGGGCTCACGGAGCTGACATCGCAGAACCCCTCGCAATGAAAACCCTTTTGTAAGGCTGCCACACAAGGATTCCCAATGTAAAGGCGGTTATACAATGATTCCACGTGTGGAAAGCCATTGCAGTTCCCCCTGTCTTGAAATTCTTGTGTAAGGTCGCCACAAAAAAGGAATCCTTTTGCAAAGGCTGCTATTCAAGGGGTTTGATTGTGGAACGTCTGCGCCATAAACGCACCAACAATCACGGGTCATTATATATGTATATATACAAAATAAATATTAATCATTTTTGGTGGGGGTTATAATTTTGTCTGTCTCTCTCTCTCTCTCTCTCTTTCTCTCCTATTTTCCCCGCTCAATTACTCGAAGCGTTTTTTGGCATTGTAATCTGCGCTTTTCTCCTGCTTCGCCGCGTGGGCTTTCGTGCGCTTTTTAAGGTTTTCCATTTGAGCTAACTCGAGCCGAAACTTCGGCGCGGCGCGGCGAAAATTATGAATAAACATATGATGAGATAGAAATGGGAGAAATGAGATGAAAGTAAATGGTATGAGGGGGTGCTGACGCACAGCGGAAAGCATATGATGGAGGCGATGATGATGATGATGATGATGATGATGATGATGAAAATGCGGATTCGGATTTTTTTCCTGATCTTCCGGTGTTGTTCTCAAGTTGCAGATGCGATCGGAGGGCGACGAGGGATGAGAGGAAGAGGGCGAGGCCGAGGGGGAAACGCCGACGAACCCAAACCGCAGACGCGACGACGCGGGTCAACAGGAAACGCAGGAAAAGGCGACAAAACGACGGGACAAGACGACGCGAGACAAAACGAGAAGAGAAGAGCGGGCCCGAGGCCTCACGACGAAGTAGAAGCCGACGAGCACCACGTATTCCCAGGTGACAATCTGGGGCGCTGATGCCGTAGAACACCGCATGCTGCCCAAGAGACAAACATGGTCGCCGAAGCCGTGGCGCACCGCAAACTGCCCGAGAGACAAATGTGGGGCGCCGGAACCGTGGCGCACCACATACTGAAGAGACAATATGGGACGCCGATGCCGAAGTCAACCGCGCGCTGCCCAAGAGACAATCTTCTGCGCCAAAACCGCAGCGCACCGCTGCCCAAGAGGCGACGCCCGAGAGACAATCTGGGATGCCGAAAGGGGATGAAACATATCCCGCTTGAGGCTGTCAAATCTCAAGCTGATCTTGATGAGACAACCAGCTAGGAGCCCATGAACATATGCCTTCAAGTGCCGACGCTCAGAGACCGAAGCGCGTCGCAAAGCCAACTCGCCAATGAAGCTCGCCACGAAGTGTCTGACCGCGCTGCGTTCCACGGCTTTCGCACCAGTGGTCACCTCCAGCGTCGGGGAGACAAGGGCACTCGGAAGCGGCGCCGATGAATCTCCCGCGCCGCCAGTATACATCATGAGCACGGCGTTGAAGAAGATCCTGAGGCGCGGGCAAAGGGGCTAATCCAGCAGGAATGGCAACAGGCCAGGACAGGACCGTGTTCCTGACCACCAGCATCGAGAGAACGCTCATCAGCAGCGAAACGCGGAGCATGAACAGCAGGCCCATGTCGCCGTGGTACTTTGGGCTGTGGGCCGACACCGCCGCCACCAGGTAAAGCCGCCCGTGGATCGCACCCGTCCGGGCCACGCCAGGGGTCCTGCGAGGCAGTTTCACGACCACGTCCAGGACGATGCAAGCGATCGTGCCCCTGATCACGATTATCCTCATCATGATCACCGGGGCCTCCGCCGGCGCGTCGAATCGAGGACAGTCGCGACCCGCAGATTTGACCCAAAACTGCACGACGGAACCCCCGTCGGAGTGTCGGTGTCCACGATCACTGGTAACCGAACCTTCCACAAGCTGCCGAAAGAGGTCAACGGGAGGACCCAGCGCAGCAAGAAGAGCGGCAGGCGGAGGAGCACCCGCAGCGGCAGGCGCCACCACGACTTTCACCTTGGCCTTCGAAGCGTCCGCCGCAAAGCCGAAGGCGATGTGCACCGCCCTTCCAAACCCGAACTGCCTCCGAATCCAGTCAACGCACGCCAGGCAGGGCATGGCAGTGCGAACTTCCAGCAGGTGCAGGATAGAAACCACCGCGCCAGCAAATGCCAGAACCAAAGCGGCTATGCAGACGATGATGATGTTGGTAATGGTGATGATGTTAATGACGATTATGATGCGGATGATCACGATGATGCTGATACTGATGATGATAATGCTGATGATCATGACGATGATAAGGACGATGATGATGCTGCTTCTGATGCAGCTGATGATGATGATGATGATGATGATGATGATGATGATGGTGATGGTGATGGTGATGGTGATGGTGATGGTGATGGTGATGATGATGATGATGATGATGATGATGATGATGATGATGATGATGATGATCAGGATGCGCAAATTGCGAGACAGTAGGGCCCCACAGCGTTCCCCTCTCCATCTTTCTGCGGCGTCTCTCAAGCTGCATCGATCTGTGATGGGCCTGGGCCTCCCACCGGGCCCGAGACCTGGGCGCTGACGCCCGTTGCGAACAAACTTGCAACGCCCAAATCTCATGGATGGGGCCCCCGGAAGTCCCGACCCTGCCCCGGAGCCAACTTTTCATCCCGAGTCGGTTTTTGGCGGTCCCCGAGCGCGGCGAGGGAGGGCCCCCAGAGGCCGAAAACAGCCAAAGACATCCCGTCGTGATTCCCGAAGGGCGTTTCGCTGAGTTCGCTGCGAGGGTTCTAGTGGAGGTTAACAAGAACAACAAAAGAGTCCCACAAAGGGGGACGGGGAGCTTGGGACCGCCCAGTGCCGGCAGCCGTTTCGAATGAGATTTCCTCACCAGTAACTCAGGAATCGTGATCTCGCCTTGGTGCTGGCTACTTTTTTTTTTGCCCGGACACGATCCCGTGCAAAAACACACTACGGTGCATATGGCTGTGCGGCAGTGCGGTCACGATCCTTGGAAAAAACATACGACCTTGCACGCGGTCGTGCCCTCACCCGCGTCACACGGCCGCGATCCCTGGTAAAACAACACGGCGGTGCACATGGCCGTGCTCTCACCCCTGTCACGCTTAAGAATACATGGGAATGTATGTTTTCACTCGCCGACCTCCAACTCCTCGACCCGCCTCTTTACCTTTGCTGCCATCAGGGTGCTTTGCTGGGGTTTCCTTCACAACGAGGAAGGGCCTGGCACGGACCAGCGACGAAACGAATGACCAAACGAACGACGAGCGACGACGGGCGGCAGACGGCGGCGGGCGGGCGGGCGGCGGAGGCGTGCGGCGACATCCTCGCGCGGCGCAGCTGCTCCTCCAGGAAGCCCTCGCGCGAAGGGCGCCGGTCGGCGCGCCCGTCGAGGAAAGAAGTGCCTCGTTTCCCCCGCCCTTCCCCCTTCCTCCCCTGGTAAGGCTTCGGGCTGCGTGCAGACAGTCCACCCAAGTAGTCCCCACTGGCCTCAACAAGCTCCTCGAATAGTCTGGAGAGGTCTCAAAACCCTGGCGCAGCCTCTGGCGCCCCTGGGGCGCTCCGCGCCACAACATAAAAATGTTTAGACCGCTCTGGACTACTCGTGGGGCCTGCTGAGGCCAGCCGGGACTACCTGGTGGATCTGTATGCACGCAACCCGAAGCATTACCCCCCATCTCCCCCCCGCCCATCAAAGTCTCCACATCTTAGGGTCCGCCCGTCGGTGCCCACCTGTTCGACCCGCTTGGCTGCCAGGTTCTGCCCTCGACCCTCAAGAGTCCAAGGGGTCGGTCCTGGCCCTTTGCGGGCCTCTGAGGGCCTCCAGGGAGGTCTCCAGGGATCAAGATCCAGGGCGGCAGGAACACCTACCACGCCTGTCTTACCCTGTCGGTTTACCCAGGAGCTGGCACGACACTAAGGAGTCCCTACGCTCATAGACGAAGAGGGCGGGAGTCGAGGGCTCGGGGTATACACGTTGAGCTGCATGTCGGCAGCGAACAGCGAAAAAGGGGGTACGGTCATAAACGAAGGAAGGCGGGAGTCAAGGGTTCGAGGTATGCGTGTTGACTGGCACGCGGGCAGCGAACAGCGGAACCAGATGGTGGTACAGTTCTAGCGTCTGAGGAATGAATTGCCACTGTTTATCCCCCTTTTCTGGTGCGCATTGTGCTTTTTCAACTGAAGTGTCCACTTCGGCTCTGGTACCTTATCTTCTCATCGAGGGCAATTTTCAGTCAGCCCCTGGACTGCGACAGCAACGGCTCCTGCCTGAGACTTTCTCGAGAGAAACCCAAGACTCGTGTTCTCTCTTCTTTGGAGTTTAGAGGCATGCGCTGCCCCGAGACTTTCACGTAACGGATTCAAGATTCGTGTTCTCGCCGCTGTGGAACAATACTCTCGCCCAGGTCCTCCTCACAACTCCCGAAACAATGCTCGCACTTAAACGTTCTGTTTTGGCTTGCTTAAATATTTGGATGGGCGTGCGAGGGTTTTGCCGGAGGCAACCGAGATAGACGCAGCGGCGCGGCAACGACGCAACAATCGGCTGAACCGACCGACGTGACGCATCCGACTGCGACGCAGCCGAACCGATCGAACCGCAGACACCCTTGGTCATCCTCGTCGTCTGGTCTCTGGGGCATGACTCGGCTCTCAGGTGGTTGCTCGGGACGGTTCGGACCACCCCTGGGAACGCGCTCGGCGAAGCACAACTGCTGGAATGCATCCCTCGAGGAGCAACCACTGCATAAGCATCAACTTTTTGAGATCCAGGGGCCGCGCCGGAGGCGCCGCCAGGGGGTTCGATCGCAGATCCACGAAGTCAGCGCGTACCTCCGACAACTTACGTTTCTGCCGATTCTCTTCCTCGCATCCCGAAGCTGGAAAATCGCCGAGGGCCAACGAGAACGTCAGAGAAACGACGGCAACGACCGACGAGAGAACCGTACTTGCGATAATGGCGCCCGTGCGCCGAACAACGTGTGGGCTCCTTTCAAGCCCCGCTCCACCGCGGTACGTTGCATACTTTTTCCGGCCTTGAGGGCCGAAATAATTTTGCACAGTACCATTACTGCGTCGAGCTCGGGAGATGCCAGCGCGGTACTGTACACCTGTTAGCCAACGTGAAACCCGAATTGTGTGTTACTAGCACCATAGGTTATGCAGTCTATGTCGGACAGTCGATGTTGTGCAATTAGATGTGGTGCACTTTATGTGGTGCAATATCTGTGGTGCAACCTATGTGGTGTGATCTACGATGTGCCATCTGTGTTAGACAATAGATGTGGTGCAATACGTGCGGTGCTATACAGGATGGGCAATTTATGTGGAACGCTGTGCGTGGTGCAATATATGTGGTGCAATTACTTCTTGAAAGACTTGGAGGTGTCAACCATACAGCTCCCGCAATCACCCCACCCACCCACCCGCAACTTGGTTTGTAAAACCCATGCGGCGGTGATTGCGACGAGTGCTTGGTGTTGGTTGTTGCATCTCCGCGGCCGCGCGAGCCCGCGCATGTTCGCGCGCACAGCGGCCAGCTAGTTTGACACGACCGACGCGGCCGCGGTGGGTCTGACAACTGGGCACTGCCCAGCGGGCACTTCAGTGCGAATCGGTAAGTTGGGCGGGCGCGGTATCATGGCGACGTCGACAACGGTAGACACGATGATGGTGACGCTGATGACGATGACGACGCGAAGGCCAATGATGGCGCCGATGCTGATCACTCCGATGACGATGACGGTGTCTTCGCGTCGGTGACGAAGATTTTGGAAAGAGTTCGACGCGCGAATGACCCGCATTGTACGATTTGGCAGGGATCGTGCTCCCCAGCACGCGCGCGAGGGCTTTCGAATGATTTCGACATGCGGTGCGAAATGCTTGTTTGGTCGAGTTTGATGGCAGCGTTGAACACTTCTGGTTTTCGGAAGAAGTCGCAAAAACGCGCGCAAACATATGCGTGATGTATGTGTGTATGGATGTATGTACGTATGCATGCATGCATGCATAGCTATATGAATATCTATATATCTGCCTGTGCCAGCATGTATGTTTGTATGTCTATGTACATGTATGCATACATGTATGTATATACACACATACATCTATGTATGCAAATGCGGCAACTCCATTTTTTGATACGTTTTTTCTGTATGTGGCACTCGATTTTGAAGTCCTTGCGAACTCTCAGATTTTGGAAGATTCCAGCATGCGCGCGCGACGACGCGCGCGTGTGCATTTCGTCCCATTTTCTCCAAAGGGTTCCTGTGGGAGCACGCGCGCGAGCGCGTTCGACTGGTTCCGACACGCGCGGGCAAGAGGCGCGTTTGGTATGATTTGATGCACACGTTGAAAGCCTTTCCCTTTGGAATTTGCAAGAGCGCGAGCGCATGTTTTTTTTTTCCATTTGGAATTCCGATTGCTACATTAAAAACACAGAAAGATGTATTCAGGGCACTCAGCCACGATTGACGACTTTTGAACAAAAACTGCATGTGCGCGCGACGACGGGCGCGCAATTGGCCTCTCTTTTTTTGGTGCAAGGGACGCATGAACATTGATGACCTGTGCTTTGATATAGGACTGCGCGCATATGGTTTTTTTACATAATATCTGGGGGCGAGAAGGGGCTGGCCGGGAGGGTGCGAGCTAGTATTTAGGATGGAAGATGCAACATCATATACCAAACACACTGCGAACATACAAGGTTGCTCGTTAAGCCCGGGATGGGGGAGAGTAGATCCCAATATTCCTTTAGCACAAGAGAATCTGCGTGGCGCAAACTATGTGGTGCAATCCATGTTGCGCAATGTTACTGGTGTAATGCAAGTGGTGGAACATGTGCGGTGCCACCCGTGAGGTGCAATCTATGCGCCGCGCTTAATTTTGGAAAATGTGGGATTTTCAACTCCACTGCTCGCGCAAATATCCCACCCGCCCACCCGCAACGTGGTTTGCAAAATCCATGCGGCGGCGATTGCGATGACTGTTTGGTGTTGGCTGGTGCATTTGTGCGGCCGCGCTAGACCTTGTATGTTCGCCGCGCGCGCAGCGGCCAGCTAGTCTGGTGCGACCGTCGCGGCAGCGGTGGCGCTGACCGTTGGACACTTTCAAGCGGGCACTTCAGTGCGGGTCGGTGACATGGGCGGGCGCGGTATCCTGGCGACGTCGACAGTGGTGGAAGAGACGATGGTAGTGGCAATGATTGTGGCGATGATGACGACGGCGACGGCAAAGCCAATGGTGGCGCCGATGCTGATCACGCCGGTGACGATGAAGATGTCCTCGCGTCGGTGATGGACATTTTTTGGGGTAGTTCGTTCGACATGCGCGCGCGGCCGACGCGCGCGAGTGGTCCGCGTAGGATTATTTGACCAGGATCGCGACCCCCACCCCGCCTGCCCCCCCCAGTGCGCGCCAGGGCGTTAGAATGGTTTCGACATGCGGCGCAAGAGGCCCGCTTGGTCGAATTGGATGGAAATCTTGAAGCAATCTTGAAAAACCGATTGTTATATGCGCGCACGACGTCGCGACCGCGCGCGCTGCGCCCCGTCTTTTGCAAAGGATGTCTGACAACGTGTGGTGTTTGATAAGTGAGTGTGCGCGCATCGTATGTTCTGTTGCAATTAAGGGGGTGAGGCGGGGATGGCGAGTGAAGGCTGCCTGGGAGGCATGAACTCCGCCGACCCTTTGGGGTCACGGCGTGTGATATGCTTCCCCCTCCCCAAACCCCTCCCCCGGGAGCCCGGTGCGGACGGTTTGGACGGGGAGTGGGGGGGGGGCAAAGGTGTCGGCCGCACTCTTGGAGCCTCAGGGGGCCCCAACACGGGCCAAGAGGGCCCCAAAGGCCACCCCCCGACGGTCCAAGATGGCTACAAGTCGCCGAAAGATCGCTCTCAGACGCCCAAGATTGCCTCCAGACGGTCCCAGAGGCCCCCGAAACGCCCCAAGAAGCCACCCAGAGGCGTCCCAAGAGGCCGTCCATATACAAAAATCGTCACATCCCGTAGGGGAAGCGTATAATTTTAACACATTCGCCTCTTAGGCTTTCGCGAGGCCCACTACGGCCCAAGAAACCTTTGCCTTTAACCCAAGATAGCCCAAGAGGCCCCCAAGAGGGCTCCAAGACGGCCCTAAGACGGCCCAAGAAGCTTCCAGAACGACCCAGGAGGGCTCCAGGACGGCCCCAAGAGGAGGCCCAGAGGGGGAACCCGAATGAACATGTCGAGCACTCGGCCCCGAAAAAACCTGAGGAAGCGCCAATAGGCCCCCAAGAAGCTCCCACGAGGCCCCCTTGAGGTCTCTAGAGGCCTCGGAACGGCCCCCCAAAGGCCTCAAGAGTGCTTCCAAGAGAGCCCCGAGAAACCCAACAGCAGAGCCGCGACCAGCCAACCGCCCCCGACGAAATCCCAAGAAACTGACAACCCAAAGTTCCCCAGAAATCGCTCCGTCCGTTTTTCCTTCTTACTGCCGCCCCAATGGGTCGGCGGTGCGGCGTCAGCCAATTAATCATATTTAGGATGGGAGACGGGTCAGAGTCACACGTGAGCTGCAATGCCAAAAAGGCCGTTCAGTCGGGGGGGGGGGTCGATCCTGGTGCTCTTCTAACAAGGAGGACCGACGAGGCGCAACAAATTTAGAGAAACTTTGAACTGTCAACTTCGCATCCCGCCAGCGCACTCGCAAGTTGGTTTGACAAAACCCATGCGGCGGCGATTGCTTGGTGTTGACTGGTGCATTTCTGCGGCCGCGCTGGCCCGCGCATGTTCGCGCGCGCAGCGGCTAGCTAGTCTGGCGCGACCGACGCGGCCGCGGTGGTGCTGACCGCTGGGCACTTCCCAGCGGGCACTTCAGCGCGAATCGGTGGCTTGGGCGGGCGCGGTATCCCGGCGACGTCGACCGCGGTGGGAACGATGGTGGTGGCGGCGATGATTGTGGCGATGATGAGGCCGACGACGGCAAGGCCAATGACGGCGCCGACTCTGCTCGCGCCGATGACGATACGATGTCCTCGCGTCGGTGATGAAGGTTTCGGAAGGAGTTCGACATGCGTGCGCGGGCGACGCGCACGAATGGCCCGCGTGGTATATTTGACGGGGGACGTGCCCACCCCCAGCGTTCGGATGATTCCGGCATGCGGCGCAAAAGGTCTGTTCGGTCGCATGTGATGGCAATGTTGAAAAAACCGTGGTTGTCCGACAAATTCGCGAGAGCGCGCGGGTTTTTTTGAGGGAAATTGCCGTTGCAAAACCATGCGTCTTTTGCATATGTTTTCGGGGCGCTCGATTTTGACATCTTCACTAAACCGGAAATTTTGAAGGATTGCGGCGCGCGCGACGACGCGCGCACGTGCGCTTTGTCCTGTTTTTGACAAGAGATCCTTGCGACAGCAAGCGCGCAAGGGCGTTCGAACGATTTCGGCAGGCGCGCTCGCGGGACACGCTTGGTAGAATTTGATGTCAATGTTGAAAAACCTCTGGTTTTGTTAAGAATTCGCAAGAGCGCGGCCGCATGTGTTTTTCTTGCAGATTCCTGCCGCGAAACCATTTTTCTACATGTTTTCGGGGCGCTCGATCTTGAAATCCTTGCGGCACCTCGAAGTTTTGGGCGGATGTCGGAATGCGCGCGAGACGACGCGCGGGCGTGCACTTCGTCCCGTTTTTTGGCCTCGCACTGATGCTTGTTGATAAAATTCTGTGCGCGCATCATGTTGTTTCCTTTTGCAGAGGATGATGGGGGAGGTGATAAGCGGCTGCCTGGGATGGTACAGTTTCATCATTCGGGTGGGCGATGGGGCAGAATCGAATTGCAAACCAAACAGCCAGTTCGTTCAGTCCGGGCGGGGGAAGGTAGATCCTAATACTTTGTTAACAAAAGTATTACCGAATTCTCACCCGTGAATTGTCAACTCCAGTACTCTCGCAATCATCCTCCCGCCCGCCCAGAATTTGTTTTGTGGCGATGGCTGCTTGGCGCTGGCTGGCGCGTCGCTGCGGCCGCGCTAGCGCGCGCAGGCTTGCGCGCAGAGCGGCCAGCTAGGCTGTCGCGGCCGCGGTGGCGCTGACCGCTGGGTTCTTCCCCGCGCGTTTCGCAAGCCGCGCTGGTACTTCACTGCGAGTCGGTGACTCGGGCGGGCGCGGTATTATGGCAACGGCGACAACTGCAGTCACGATGATGATGGCTACGATCCTGGAGATGATGATGACGTTGACGACGGCAAGGCCAAGTACGGCGCCGATGCTGATCACGCCGGCGACGATGATGGTGTCCACGTGTCCGCTGTGTGTTGTTTGACATGGATCGTGCCCTCCCAGCAAGCGCGCAAAGGCGTTCAAATGATTTCGACATGCTCGCGCGAGAGGCCCTTTTGGCCGCATTTGATGAAAATGGTGGAGACCTATGGTTCCCGTAAAGCTTCACAGGAACGCGCTCATTTTTGGACAGCTCGTGTTGCTAAACAATGTTTTGGTTGGATACATTGTAAGGCAACTCGATATTGAAACCCTTACGGCACCCATGGTTTTTTTGAAAGATTCTGGCATACGCGCGCAACGCCGCGCGCGTGGACTTTGTCACATTTGTTGCAAGAGATTCCATAACATTTGTGACAATTGATCAACGAATGTGCGCGCATAGTGCCATTCGACAGGGGTGGCGATCAAAGGGGTCTGGCAGGGATGGCATGAACTCATGTTTAGACTGAACGATGAGGCAGAATCGTATGTAAGTTGCACGGTCCCTGAGGGGTAGCGCAATTTCGGTTTGAAGGTGGAGGTGGTAGATATCAGTTTTTGCTCAAAAATTATCGATGCGACGCGGCGACGGGGGGGCGACGGCGACGACGGGGCGGCGACGACGAGGACGGAACCGCCAGACCGCCACCCAAACCTAAACTATGGGCGGCGACGAGGCGGCGACGGCGAACACAGAACCGCCAAACCGCCACCCAGGCCCAATTCCGTAGAACAGTAAGAACCGTTAAGTGCAATCACTGTTTGGGGGATAAAACCGATCCTGGAAACTCTGAGCCCCAATATGCTGCCAATTCTAAAGGGAGCATCTCTTACTTCCGCCAGCTTCCGCCGGCGGAGGCGGCCTCGTTCTACTTCCGCCAGCTTCCGCCGCCTTTCGCCGAGGAAGAAATGCAACTCCTTCGATCCTCGGAGGCGAGGACTTTCTGGAACGACTCATAAGTCAGACGCCTCCTAGATGGGGTCCGGCCAGATGCGATCGGAGGATGGCGCCGCATCGTTGATGAATTGGCGATGCATCGCCGATGTAGGCGATACATCGGCGTGCAGAAAATCGGGCTCCGCATCGAGCCGCAGCGCCGATGCGTCGCCGATGCGTCAGCGATGCGGCGCGATCCTCTGACCCCGTCTGCTCTGACCCCGTCTCGGGGGCTGCCCACGCCCGCGTTGGAGGCATCACAGCACGCCTGCTCAAAATCCATCCCAGGACCCCTCCCAGGGTCCGTGCGGCGCAATTCTCACCGAGGATCCGTGTCTGACGGTCCTGGAGGTCGACGGCGGCCCCTGGAGGCCGCAGGGAGCAAAGCACCTCCCCGAACCCCGCGCCTCGAACATCGCCCCGCCTTCCTGCTGGCCGGAGCCAGTGCCAGGCCACCTCAGGCCCCCCAGACGGCTCCAGGTGCCAAGACCTCTGATCCTCGAGGGCGAGGCCCTCTCTGGAGCGTCATGACTTTTCCATAGCGTCGATTCCGGGAATGTCGATCCATTCCCCAAGACCGGACTTTCATCCTGAACCGATTTCTGTCGGCCCCGAATCCCTTGAAGGGTCCCAGGGGCTGCAAACAGGAAAACCATTCCGTCGTGATCTTTTCATGATTCGAAGGGGTCTGTGAGCTGAGGCCAACGCGGTACCACAGTTTTTCTGTTTTTGCATTTTTTTTTTTTTTTTTTTGTTTTGCGCATATACATACATATATTTCAAGATAGCGGCCGCTACTGGCCTCGGCCGCTCCCTTACCATCCCAAGTAACGTCACGATTCGTGTTGATCTCCGAATTTCGTCCTAGAAGTTCCCACACGGGGCGGGCGCCAAACGTGACGTTACAAGACCCCCGCCCTCCTTCCCCCCCTGGTAACGCCCGTGATCGCCCGGGAGTAAAAAAGGCTTTCTACGGTACACGTACCCTGAGATCCGACGATGCGGAGAAAATGCGACATCGCCAGAAATCATGACCAAAACCCCAGACCCCATCTTTCTGGGGCACGATCTTTGATGGGTGGGGGACACGAAACTTAACGAAAACGGTCGTGGTGAACAAATGCCGCGTCCGACCTGCCGCATCGGATCTCCAGGACACCTAAATCGAGGCGGATTGAGGTTGCCGAAATCGGTATCGAACGGGGTCGATCGGATCGAGATGGGCCCTGCATGAATCTTGGCGGCGCACACAAGGGGGGAATGGGGGACGTGGGACAACTTCTTAGACTGAACCTGCTTCTTAGAAGGCGCCGGCCCTAAATATACAGACAGGGCCCGCGCCTTCTAAGAAGCAGGGGCGCTTCTAAGACCCCCTCCCAATCCCCCCCTTCTGCGCGTGGCCGAGCATAAGTCGTCCGCGGAACACCGTGGCTGGCCATCGGATGCTGCCTGGTTTCACTTCTGCCGACCTTCCGCCACAAACAGAGATGACAACTCTTTCGACCCTCGAAGGCGAGGACTTCCTGGAACGCCTCATAAGTCAAAGCCATCCTTGCTTGTGGTCCGACTACATGGGGTCGGAGGATGGCGCCGCATCGTTGATGCCTTGGCGATGCATCGATGATGTCGGCGACGCATCGGTCTCATCGGCGTGCAGAAAATCGGAATCCACATCGAGCCGCGTCGCCGACGCGTCGCTCGCGGGCCGCATCGCCGATCGCCCGCGGGGCCTTGTGTAGGTCGTCCGCGGCTCGCGGCGCGGGGCGACCGCGTGGGCGGCCGCCGCGCATCGTCGTCGTCGTCGTCATCGCCGTCGGCGGCGGCGGCGTCGGCGGCGTTCGCGGAGCGCCGCGGCCGGCCGTCGGAGGCGGTGCGCCGCCGCCTTCGAGCGCGTGCTCGTCGCTGGGGCCCCGCTGGCCTCTGCCGTGGCAGCCACCGCCGCGGCCTCCTCGGGCGGCCTCGCGTCGGCGCCGTGCGCGGGGCGAGGCTCCGCTCGTCCCACGACCCCCTCCCTCCGTTTCCGTTTCCTCCTCCTCCTCCGTTTCCTCCACCTCCTCCTTCTCGTCCTCCTCCTGCTCCTCCTCCTCCTCTTCCTGCTCCTCCTGCTCCTCCTGCTCCTCCTGCTCCTCCTGCTCCTGCTCCTCCTGCTCCTCCTGCTCCTGCTAAGGCACAGCCGAGACACGACACACACTACACATGCGACACATACTACGACTACCAGGCGCTAGCAACGCGGCCGTACATCACCCGCGTCTGCTGGGCGGTGGGGGCTGCGCCCAGCGAGAGCAGGTCGATGTCCGCTGCTGCGAAGGCGACCGCGCGCTCCAGGGCAGCCCTCCAGCGCGGCACCAGCCTGGGCGCAGCCCACTGGTCCCGCAGGGATGCAGCAGCGTGCGTGGCGAGGTGCTCCAGCGACCGGTGGGTCCCGGCAGCAAGCCGCCCGTATGACTCCAGGGCGACGGTGAGCACGTCGCTCCCGTACCGCCGCCTCTTGTCGTCCACGGCAGCGTTGGCGGCGTCGCCCGGGCTCGCCTGCGCCTGCGCATAGCGCGCCACGTGCGGGCAGCGGATCGACACGTCGATATACAGGGGCTGAACAGAGCCCCGGAACGTGACGACAAGATCCAGGACGGCCTCCTGGACGGCCCCGTTCGGCAGCACGCGGATGAGCTCTGGCTCCTGCTCCTGCTCGTTCTCCTCCTCCTCCTCCTCCTGCTTCTTCTCCTCCTCCTCCTCCTCCTCCTCCTCCTCCTGCTTCTCTCCTCCTCCCTCTCCTCCTCCTTCTCGTCCTCCTCCCTCGTACCCCGACCTCCTCCTCCTGCTCCTGCTCCTGCTCCTGCTCCTCCTCCTCCTCCTCCTCCTCCTCCTCTTCCTCCTTTTCCTCCTACTCCTCCTCCTCTTCCTCCTTTTCCTCCTCTTCCTCCTCGTCCTCGTCCTTGTCCTGGTCCTCCTGCCTCCTGCCTCCTCCCTCCGCGGCCTCAACAGATGCCTTCCCAGGCCACCACCACCACCACCACCACCACCACCACCACCACCACCACCACCACCACCACCACCCACCACCACCACCACCACCACCACCACCCACCACCACCACCACCACCACCACCACCACCACCTCCTCCCTCCTCCCTCCTTCCTCCTCCCTCCCCCCTCCCCCCTCCCCCCTCCCCCCTCCCCCTCCCCCTCCTCCCTCCTCCCTCCTCTCTCCTCCCTCCTCCCTCCTCCCTCCTCCCTCCTCCTTCCTCCTTCGTCTTCCCTCCTCGGAACAATCGGAAGCGGGTCCCAACAATCACTCATGAGCACTGTGAGACGGGGTAGAAACCGCCGCGGGGTCGCGACGGTAGGCCTTGTGTAAATGCATCCACTGGGCTCCATAGAAGTTGGCAAGCAGTGGGCGTTCGTTCGCTCGCTGCTGCTGAGGCTGATGCTCCCGCACTGGCTACCTTCCCCCATCGATCCCATCCCATTGTTACTGGGGTCACAGGCGGGCAAGTCTGTCGCCTGTCGGCGCCCCTGCACGCTTGAGGGGAATGGAGGAGGGGGACCCGCCTACCTCATGCCTCCTACCCCAAAGCACTCAGGAGGAGGGCGGAAAGGAGCCAGGGAAACCACAGTCAATCCGCGGCCCGAAACCGCCCTGAGAGCCTCGTCCCGTGTCAATTTTTTGGACGGCCCCGGCGCCCGAGGACGTGGCCCTGGAGGCCGAGATCGAGGATCAGCGACAGGACTGCAAACATCCCCTGAGATCCGACGTCTCGAAAAAATGATGGCTCAAAACCTGGTATTGCCACGAACCCCAATCTTGGAGGAGAAGTGGGCGTGACTTGCGAGGAAGAGAAAACACAGAAGAAGATGCCTATAGGGCGCATGATGCTGATTTCCGTGTTGTTCGTTTGACGCTGTGCAACTTTGAGGCGCATTATGCTGGTTTCCGTGTTGTCCGTTTGACGCTGTGCCCATTTGTCGGGGCGTCTCCGACAATCTTGGAGTCCTGTTGGGCAATCTTCGGGCCATAAGGCGTCTCCGAACATCTCGGGACCATCTTAGGCAGTCTTGGGGCCCTCTTGGGGACCTCTGAGGGCTTCCTGGAAACCTCTTGGGGGCTTCTTGGGGCCTCCTGGGGGGTTCTTCGGGCGGAGAGCCCCACATGTCGGTCCCTGCCCCCCCTCTGGGGCCCCTCTTGAAGGATTCCTGGGGCCTTCTCAGACCGCCTTGGAGGTCTCCTGGGCTGTCTTGGGGGCGTCTTGGGCCGTCTTGGCGCTCTCTTGGGGGCCTCTTAGGCCGTTTTGGAATGATCTTTGGGGCCTCTTGGGGCGTCTTGGAGCGTCGGGAGGCCGATAGGCGAAAACGCGAAAAACCTTCAAAAACCAAAGGAACACACATGAATGTTGACTCTTGGGGCTCTCTTGGGGTGCCTCTTGAAGGTCTCCTGGGTGCTTCTTGGCCCGTCTGGAGGCCATGTTGGACGGTCTGGACCAATCTTCTGGCGACTGGTGACCCTCTTGGACAATCTTGCGGACCATCTTGGGGCCGTCCGTGCCGCCCGGAAACGCATCTGCCGAAACGGGGCCGACAGCGGCCGTCTGCCGCCACTGGATATCGCAAAAAATCACGTCCGGAGCTCGGGCCCTTTTTTCTGCCTCATTTTTCGGGCCGGATTAATCTGTGAGGGTCCGAGTCCCGGCCGGGGCCCGAAACTGGTCGAAGACGCCTGTTGTGACAAACAATTGCAACGCAAGGATCGCAGGGGTCGCACCCACAACGACCCGACCCAAAAACTCCACGCGGAGCTTTGATTGTTCATGTTTCTGTTCATGCCGCTTATTGTTCCTCGAATATCCCTGAGATCCGACGTTGCGAACATACGACATCGCGCAGACCCAAGACCAGAGCCCTGGACCCCATCTTTCTGCCTCACTTTCGAAACTGATCGATCCGTGAGGGTCCCAGGGCCCGAAGTTGGGCGAAAACGCCATTGCGTCGCCCGGATCTCAGGGATCGTCGGAGATCCTGGAGCATCGCTTCTCGAAACTCGGGTTCGGCGCGGGCGGCGGCGGTGGCGCCTCGGCACGCCTGGCGCAGCCGCCGCGGCGGCCTCCGCCCCCTCGCCAGGAGCTGCCGCGCCGTAGGGGGCCCCCGCGGCTGCCTGCCGCAGGCGCTGGGCGCCCGCGCCGGCGCCGCCGACGACGACGCCAGCGGCTCGGCTTCGTCGGCTGCACGTGAGCGACCCTGGGCGAGAGTGACCTTTGGTGCGGGACTTTCGGGGGCCGTGGGGAGGCCGAGTCGGAGCGCGCAAGTCGTTGCAATCGCATCGCATTCAGCCATCTGGGGACCCTGATGTGCCCGCACCAAACGTCACTCTGGCGAAAGGTCACTCTTAAGCATAGCCGACTACACGCAAGCCAGAGGCCCAACGCATTGACAAAAATCATGGCCGAGGTTTTTCGCCGTCTTCGGCCTCCAGAAGCCCTCGGCGGGCCTCGGGACTTTCAAAGAGCGGAGCAAGATGAAGAGTCGGTCGCGAGGAATGGGTCGACACCTCTGGGGTCCACGTCATGACAAGTCATTGCGTCGGCGGTCTTGGGACGCCGGCGACTCGGCTACACGCAAAACTTACCCTTTGCACGAGCGACCTTCGGTGCGCGGCTTCAGGAGGCCGCGGGGGGGGAAATCCAAGCGTGCAAGCCACTGCTGGGGGCACCACTGTGGGCCCGGTCCAAAGGTCGCTCCAGCGAAGGGTCACTCTTACGCGTAGCCGAACGATGCCGGAGACGACAGCCTTTAGATCCAAGCGTTGCATTTTTTCACTACGGGCGTTTTCGCCAAGTTTCGGGCCCCAGGACCCGAACGGATTGATCTGGGCAAACGAACGCACGAACTTCGGTGATGATTTTCCGAGAGGTTGCATTTTTCGCAACTTCGGATCTCAGAGAACGACGACAACGACGCCTTCGACGACGACGCTGACGCCGACAAGGACGACGACTGCGACGACGACGCCGCCGCCGACGCCCCACATCTCCGACGATGATTTTGCTTCAATCTGAATGTTTTTCCTTCACTTCGGCCTCTGGGGCCCGCCAGCGGGCCCCACGACATCAAGAATGGGTCCGGGGCGGGGAACCACCCCCAGGGAAAGGGCTGGGAGTTCTGCCGCCGAGGGCTGACAAAAATCACACCAGCGGATGTCAGGGGCCGACGCCGACGAGGACGCCGACGCCGATGAGGACGACGCTGGTGATGGAGGCGGGCGGCGGGGGGCGGCGAGCGCCGCGTCGGGCGCTGGCCAGCCATGGGGCGTCCAGCGGGGAGGCTTCGTGGCGTGCCCGTCGGTCTCTGCACGGCTGGTGGCTTGAACACCTCCGCATAGGAGCGTGCTCGACGATCTTCTCGGGGTCGCCTGAGATGACTCTGCCTTGACACGCCGCAGGCTCTGTCGATGTGGTGCTCGAGCTCCTCGCAGCGCCGATTCAGCACACCAGTCTGCCTGGCAGTGTCTGCTCCACAACTTTCTGGCGCGGCTCCCACGTCCTCGGAGCGTCCACCGCGCATGCCCCGCGCGCCCTCCCCGACCGCGCCTCGCGCCCACAGCCCACGCCACGCGCGCGCGCGGCGCGACGAGGTCAATGTGCGGGCCGCTGCGCCGCCGCGGGCCAACGCAGACCCGCTGGGGCCTCATGAAGCGTTGGCAGACATGCATCGCGCGAGAGCGCTGCCGTGCGCACTCCGTGCACTCTGTCCGGCTGTGCTCTTGCCGCACCTCCCGCCCGCAGCCCGGGTCGCGGTGGCGGCATGGGCCGAAGGCCACTGCGGCCAGGCAAACACCAGGGGGAACCTCTAAGCTCAGGAACGGGGCCTTGCTTCGCACCCGAAGGCGCCCGGGAGCACGAGGAACGCTGGAGGAACAGCCATCGAAGGACATGAGCAGCGAGCCCCGTCCAAACGCGAACTGTGTACCGTGCAGTCATCGTGCTGAAATGAAGAAGGCGAAACACAAAAACAGAAAAGCTCTTCTGGCTAAGGCGAGCCTCGGTCACGGATTTGGCATGAATCCGCGGCTATAGAATTCCCGACCCCTTAAAAGCGGGTAGTTTTTCGTCCTGGATCCATTTTTGAATGGCCCTGGGGCCCGATGACAAGCCCCAGAGGCCGACATCGAGGAACGACGCCACGATTAAAACAGTAACATCGTCGCAGATCTGGGCAATTCCGTTGCTCTCTCTCTGGCTTGCCTGCAGTGGTTCCCAGCGAGCAAGACTTTCAGATAACACTGTTCCCGGCCCTGCCGAGAAGCCCCGACAGGCCCGTCGGCCCGTCCGGCAGCCTTCCGCACGCAACGCCCAGCGCGCATGAAAAAGCCATCCCTGTAAGGCGGCCAGGACAGAGCCCGTGCTGCGTGTTGGCTCGGCACGTGGGCAAACACGTGCAAAGCAAACACGAAACGTGTTAGCCTGGACGTTCTGAGCACGGCACGTGTTAACCTTGCAGAACGGGCGTGTCAAGACAGCCCACGGTCGGAAACTTCTGCTTCGCGTGTCGCGGCGGTGGTCCTGGCGACACGCGATGCCCTGCGGGCGGATAGCGTGCCGCTCCGCTCCGCGGGGCGGGGGGCTTCGAACAGCTCGGGACGTTGACGCTCGGGGACTGGGCAGTGGTTAGCGCGTCGCGCCGAAGCGCGGTGGGCCAGAACCCGCGGCGTGACACGCTCAGCCAAAGTTCCCGACCGTAGCATGGCCTCCAAGGCGGCCCGACACTTCCAGTATTGCCTCCAAGGCGACCCCTGACGATCCGACGAGGCCTGGGCTCAGGATGCCTCCGAAACGGCCTCAAGACGGCCCAAGGGCCCCCTGACAGGGCTCTGCAGGGCTCCAGGAGGCCCCCCCAGGAGAGTCTGAAGATGCCAACATCTTTGACTTTTTGGGGCGGTTGTCGTGGTCTCTTACGGGCTTGCCCCCAAGACTGACCAAGAGGTCTCCAAGACGGCCCCAAGCTGCCTCAGGATGGCCCGAGATCGGTCCATGTCGCTCCGAGGTGGCCCGAGCTCCCTGGACAATCTTGGGGCCATATTGACAAGATCAATCAACATTGAATCGTGAATTCGTATCGAATCGGAATCTGCGTCGGGTTGGGCTGCATCGGCACGGAATCGGAATCGGCTCGGCCGCGCCAAAATGAACACCAAAACCATGCAAACATCGGCCAAGACCAAATTGCCGGAATATCGGAATCGAATCCGATCGAACTGGCTGGAATCGACATCGAATCGGATCGATCGGATCGACGTGGACCCTGTACCGTCTCTGGGCCATATTGTTAGAGGCGTCCTAACAATCTGTCAACAATCTTGGAAAGCATCTGGGACCGTCCCTGGTCCCTGTAAACGGGAACCCTGACAAACCATCACATCGTTGCGACCGAACAGCGCTTCGCCTCTTTCCGGCTTCTCCTCCCGCGCCGAGGCTGCGAGAGCCCCGGGCAACGGGGCCTCGACGGGAGGAGCTGGGAACGCTCCAAGATCGGAGAGCTCGACGAGGGCCAACCAACTTGGTGGCTCCTGCAGCTGGTAAGGGACTCCTCCTCCTCCTCCTCCTCCTCCCTCCTCCTCCTTCCTCCTTCCTCCTCACTCCTTCCGCTATTTCAATCCCTGACGACCCTCCTCTCGTGCGGGCTCACTGTGCTCGTAGTGTGCCATCCCGACGTGGTGTTAGACTTCGTGGCGAGCCTCGTCCTCGGCGTGCTGGACCGCCTGTCTTCACGCCCGATGTCCGGTGCGTACCGTCTCGGGCTCCGCAATACAGGAGCCTTATCTACCGCAGCGGCGCAGACCCAGGAGGTTGCCGAGGCGGTCGCAGTCTTGTGGGAGAGTGCCGGCCTGGAGGATGTAGCAGACACGGCGGCCGACAGAGCGGCCTCAGCCCTGAAGAGCAGCTCCAAGCTGGGGCCGTGGATATCGGAGAGGCCGTCCTCGACGTGGTGATCAGCGGGCCCCCTCTGTCTCAGCCGCACGCTTCGGCTCCGCCGCTCCCCACTCGAAAAGGAAGCTGGGCCAAGTACGCATTCACACTCGCAGTCGTACCCTGTCATCAGAGGCGGTTTCGCGTCCGAATCCCAGCACTCCCTTGCATGTTCATACGTTGTCGAATTCCATGTGTAGATATCCTGAACTTAGCTCTGGTACCCGCCCGCCCGCCCGTCCGACAGAGCGGCCTCAGCCCTGAAGAGCAGCTCCAAGCTGGGGCCGTGGATATCGGAGAGGCCGTCCTCGACGTGGTGATCAGCGGGCCCCCTCTGTCTCAGCCGCACGCTTCGGCTCCGCCGCTCCCCACTCGAAAAGGAAGCTGGGCCAAGTACGCATTCACACTCGCAGTCGTACCCTGTCATCAGAGGCGGTTTCGCGTCCGAATCCCAGCACTCCCTTGCATGTTCATACGTTGTCGAATTCCATGTGTAGATATCCTGAACTTAGCTCTGGTACCCGCCCGCCCGCCCGTCCGAGGGAAGGTGGGGTTGGCAATGCATGATATCGTCTGGTACGAATTCTTTTATTCCCAACCATCCTGTGGTGTTGGGTCCTCGTTTTGAAGAGACGGTGCCCCGCGTTCCTCTCCTCCTCCTCCCCCTCCTCCCTCTTCCCATCGTCATCATCATCATCATCATCATCATCATCATCACCATCATCATTATCGTCATCGTCATCATCACCATCACCATCACCATCACCATCATCATCATCACCATCACCATCACCATCACCATCACCATCACCATCACCATCACCATCACCATCACCATCATCATCATCATCATCATCATCATCACCATCACCATCACCATCACCATCACCATCATCATCATCATCATCATCATCATCACCATCACCATCACCATCACCATCACCATCACCATCACCATCACCATCACCATCAACATCATCATCATCATCATCATCATCATCATCATCATCATCATCACCATCACCATCACCATCACCATCACCATCACCATCATCATCATCATCATCATCATCATCATCATCATTATCATCATCACTATCATCGTCATCATCATCGTCATCGTCACCCACGCCCATTTCGGCACACCCCTCATACGTTTCGTGGCCCCATAGGGAGCTCCACCGAAGGCCCCAGTGGCAGGGTCCGCATGCCTCCCCATTACCCATTTCGGCACACCCCTCACACGTTTCGTGGCCCCATAGGGAGCTCCACCGAAGGCCCCAGTGGCAGGGTCCGCATGCCTCCCCACCACCCATTTCGGCACACCCCTCACACGTTTCGTGGCCCCATAGGGAGCTCCACCGAAGGCCCCAGTGGCAGGGTCCGCATGCCTCCCCACCACCCATTTCGGCACACCCCTCACACGTTTCGTGGCCCCATAGGGAGCTCCACCGAAGGCCCCAGTGGCTGCGTTCGCATGCCTCCCCACCACCCATTTCGGCACACCCCTCACACGTTTCGTGGCCCCATAGGGAGCTCCACCGAAGGCCCCAGTGGCTGGCCGCATGCCTCCCCACCGCCCATTTCGGCACACCCCTCACACGTTTCGTGGCCCCATAGGGAGCTCCACCGAAGGCCCCAGTGGCTGGTCCGCATGCTCCCCACCACCCATTTCGGCACACCCCTCACACGTTTCGTGGCCCCATAGGGAGCTCCACCGAAGGCCCCAGTGGCTGCGTTCGCATGCCTCCCCACCACCCATTTCGGCACACCCCTCACACGTTTCGTGGCCCCATAGGGAGCTCCACCGAAGGCCCCAGTGGCAGGGTCCGCATGCCTCCCCACCACCCATTTCGGCACACCCCTCACACGTTTCGTGGCCCCATAGGGAGCTCCACCGAAGGCCCCAGTGGCAGGGTTCGCATGCCTCCCCACCACCCACGGCACACCCCTTTCGTGGCCCCATAGGGAGCTCCACCGAAGGCCCCAGTGGCAGGGTTCGCATGCCTCCCCACCACCCATCTCGGCACACCCCTCACACGTTTCGTGGCCCCATAGGGAGCTCCACCGAAGGCCCCAGTGGCAGGGACCATCTCTCGTGCCAAAGCTCCTGCCCGCGCTGCCCTGTGCCTCGTCCATGCAGTGGCGCGGTGCCCATGAGAAGAGCGGCCTAGTTTGCGTGCCCCCTCCTTCGTCTCATATCCGTGCGGTACTCGCAGCTGCATATGGTTGGGTCCTTCGCCAGGCTAATTTTTGGCCTGCCTCACTCGCTGGTGATCAGCTCGTGCGGGAAAGGTAGACAGTGGCAACGAACAAACAAACTTTCTTTACTTGGGTAACGTTCGTGGACTGTCGCACTGGTCGTAAAACAATTCGGAATTCCGTCCCGCTATTTCGAGCAGTCCGCAGGGCCCCCGTGTGTCTAGACGGTACACATCTTTACATATTTCGACTCTAGCTTGACCCGCACAAGTCGATAGGAGGAGAACAACCGTTAGGTTCCTTGGGAGCTCGTGCCCTCACAGATATTTTGTTGTTTCTTTTTGTTTTCGATGCGCCCTCGCGAAACTCCAATCCTTTCCCTGGGGCCGGTTTCATCCAGAACAAGTTTTTGGCGGTCCTGGGGCTGGGCGAAAGCGGTTCTGGACCACCAGACTTTCCCGAAGACCAGCTTCTCGTCCCGACCCTGCTCTGACAGTCCCAGGTCTCCCGCATGGGCCTCCAAGGGTCCCGAAAGCAGCGGGGACCCTCCAGGACCCCTCTCCTGCCGACGTCGCGGACAAACTGCGACATCACGGCGAATCACGACCAGAGCCCCAACTCCACCGTTCTGCTGCTTCTTTCGAGCCCGATCGATGCCTGGTGATGGTCCTGGGCCCGAAGCTGGGCCGAAGCGCCTGCTGTGAACGAACTGCAGCGCCTGGCTCTCAGGGCAGTGCGTCCCGCCCCCAACGCCCGGGCGGAGAAGCGCCTCCAGCTCCTCGAACAACAGCGCCGCGGCCGTGGCCGCGGCGGAGTCCTCCAGACCCTCCTGGGGCGGCCGCGGCGGCGGGCGGACACAGAGAGGGCCGCCTTCGATACGCCGCCGCCGTGGCCGTCGTCCTCCTCCCCGCGCCGAGTGCAGGCCACCAGGGGGCTGTCCTGAGCTTTTTCCGTAGCGGCTCGGGACGTGCCCGTTTGTAGAGAGAACCGTGCACAAGAAATGGGACAAACATGTGGGACAACACTCGACGGCGTCACTCCCCGCGCCAAACCGTGCACCACCGCGCACGGCGGGCTCGAACCGGCCCTGCTTTGCGCAGAACCGCCGTGTCATCCTCCTTCTCCTCCTCCTCCTCCTCCTTCTTCACCTTGTCCTCGTCCTCCTCCGCCTCCTCCTGCTGCTCCAGAGCCTCCTCCTTCGCCTTCTCCTCCTTCTCCTTCTCCTCCTCTCCTCCTCCTTCTGCTCCTGCTCTTCCTCCTCCTCCTCCTCCTCCTTCTCCTCCTCCTCCCCTTCCTGGGACAGCCGAGAGGTCAGAACGAAACACACCCTGTGAACTTCGCCGAGTCTGCGAAGAGGAGCATGTGCAGCCCCCCCGCGCCCAGCAACAGTTGCCAACCCCAGCAGCAGGCCGCCTGTAGCATGCATTCTGGTACTGCACGCCGCCAACAGAGGTTGCCCTTGGGGCCGTATTACGGACACTCTGTTTTGTTGAGTTCTCCTCCCAGAACGGCGCTTCCGCCCCCTCATGCTCGCATGCTCACAATTTGTGAGCACAACTGTCAAGATATTGCCAATTTCCACCCCGTCGTCTGGCGGCGGGGCGATGTGAGGAGGAAGAGGAGGAAACTGACCAGTCGGAAGTCAGGGCCAATCAGGCCAGGAGGCTGCTCAACAAGAGTCATCAGCAGGGGCGTTCTCCCCGTCCCCGCTTAGAACTCCCCCGCTTTGCAGCGCCCATGGCCGAGCGAACCAGGGCATAGCCAAACAGGGCTCTGGGCGTTCCCACTCCAGACCTCCGACGTCGTACTTTTTCAGCACGTGCCCCCCCCCGGACCTCTCGACCCCTTCCTGCTGCCTTGTCTTCCATCCCCTGTCGGATAGTCCCAACATCCTGAGTGGGTTCCTGTCTTCTCTGGACGCCTCCGCACAGGAAAGGGAATACCTAATCCTGCTATTCTCTCCTCTTCCCACGCTCGTCGTCATCACTCTTACACTTACACCCTTCCACAGTCGCAACATCATCATCACCAACTTCGTCATCGTCATCATCATCACCATCATCATCACCATCATCATCATCACCATCAACATCATCACAACTGCCACCACCACCACCACCACCACCACCACCACCACCACCACCACCACCACCACCGTCACCACCATTATCACAATTCACACACTACCTCACGACCACCATCTCCATCATCATCAGCATCATCGTCCATCAGCACATCATCATCATCACCATCGTCATCGTCGTTGTCGTCGTCGTCATCGTCATCAGCACCACCATCACCACAACCATCACCACTGTCATCACTGCCACCACCATCACATCACGATCATCAACATCAGCGTGAAAATACATCACCACCATCATCATCATCGTCACCACCACCACCACCACCATCATCATCATCATCATCATCAGCACCATCATCATCATCATCATCATCATCATCATCACCACCAATAACACATCATCGCCATCATCGCAACCACCATCACCATCACCATTACCATTACTATCACCAGCATCACTATCGTTGTCATCAATAGCATCGTCATCATCATCATCATCGTCATCGTCATCGTCATCATCATCATCATCATCACCAGCATCATCATCATCATCATCATCATCATCATCATCATCATCATCATCATCATCATCATCGACATGATCATCGGCATCGATATCATTATCGTCATGACCATCACCACCATCGCCACCACCACCATCATCAACACCATCATAATGACCACATATCATCATCACCATCAGCGTCATCATCATTACCATCACCATCGTCATCGTCATCAGTACCATCAGCATCAACACCATCATCCTCCTCCTCCCCTCCTCTGCCTCTGCCTCTTCCTCTTCCTCTTCCTCTTCCTCTTCCTCCTCTTCCTCATCATCCTCATCATCCTCATCATCATGATCATCATCATCATCATCATCATCATCATCATCATCATCATCACTATCATCACCACTCCCGCTTATGCACCCTCGAACACTCACATGCGCATTCAGGACGTCTCGAACGGGGGCCTCATTTGTGATTTCATTGAGAGGACATCTCAGAGGGGCCAGGCCTTCTCAGAAGGCGGCAGGGCTTCTCAGAAGCCCTGCGGCCCTCTGAGAAGTCCATTGCGGGGCACTGCAAGTGAACCATCATCCTATGATTACAGGGTGATGGGGTCTCCCCGCCACCATAATCATCATCACCATTGTCATCATCACCACCATCATCACCACCAGCTCGAGCGCCACTGCGGGCTCTCGCCCACTTCCACAACACCCTCGTAACAAGGGAAGCGATGCAAGGCTCAATTGTCATTGCGGGCCCCGCCAACTCCCATCAATTACTTCCCCCTTAACATTGCGTAGCTCGAGCATCGCAGCGGGCGCACATCCACCCACGTCACACATACCAATGATAAGCTCGACCGTCACCACGAGCACCCGCGTGACATTTCGAGCTCAAGAGGAAACTCAATCGGCCTGCAGAAGTGGGATTTTGAACTTCGTCTCCCCCACAAACTTCTTGCCGTGCCAGTGCGCAAGCGCGCGTGTAGGGCGCGCGTGGGAGCGTCGCTACATTTCGCACCGCAGCGCTTCCAGCAAAGCAAATACGTCAATCGCACGGTGTGCAATGCCACTAGGTTGCGCACTGTTGCGAGGGACAACGAAGCGAGCGCTTGGGTCAGTGGGAGATACGCGCGCTGTACAATGAACGTCTTTTGCCACCGCCGCCACTGCGCACGAGTGCGGGAGGGGTGCCAATCCCTTATGGCATTCCGAACTTCGTCTCCCCCGCCAACTTCTTGCCTTTGGTCGCCAATATCTGGCATCGCCCGCCCAATGCTGTTAAGGGATGAACTGCCAGCCCTCCCCCCCCGAACAAACAAAACGATGCACATTCCTAGCATGGATATTGCCCCAAGGAGTGAGCAGGGGTGATGTCTGGTGTGGCATGCGGGTGCTCGTGTACACGCGCGTGCGTGCGCACGTGAGCGCGCGTGCAGGGCGCGCGTGGGAACGTCGCTACGTTTCGCCCCGCAGCGCTTACAGCACAAGCAAAGACAGCAAACTCCGGCCCCCGGCCCCCGGCCCCCGGCCCCCGGGCTCCTGCCCCGGCCCCAGCCCGGGCCCCAGCCCCAGGGCTCCGGAGCCCCGGAGCCCCAGGGCCCCAGCCCCGTCGCCTCCCAGACGCCCGCCCCAGAGGAGACACGCGGCTCTCATCACTGAACACCGTAGGGGCACCGACGCGCCACCGACGGGACACCCCGTGCAACCGCGCGCTGGGGGGAGGGAGGGGCAGACAACCGGCTCCACAGCCCCTGGCCACGGCGGCATCACTTCTCTCACGCGCCCACGCAGCTTCGCCTCGCCCGCACGCACGACACGGACACGAAACCGCAACCGATCTCCCGGTGGGGGGCTCTCCGTTCCACTGCGATCTCACCCCCCAACCTCGGATCTTGGACCCCCAGGGAAATTGGATCCACGCGGCACTGCAAGTGAAACGTAATGCTAAGATTCTACTGGAATGTGGCTGCACCATGACCACCATCATCACCATTGTCGTCGTCGTCGTTGTCGTCATCATCCTCATCATCCTCATCATCCTCATCATCCTCATTATCCTCCTCCTCCTCCTCCTCATCATCCTCATCATCCTCATCCTCATCCTCATCCTCATCCTCATCATCACCACCACCACCACCACCACAACCATCATCACCACCAGCTCGAGCGCCACTGCGGGCTCTCGCCCTCTCCCACAACACACTCATACACGGGAAGCGGGACCACATCCACTCACGTCCCCCATAACAGTGATAAACTCGACCGTTACCGCGGGCACCCGCGTGGCCTCTCGAGCTGAAGAGCAACATCTTTTGACCTGCAGAAGTAAGGAGGTCCGTCAACAGTGGGCGCCCACGTATGCCGCCCGTGCCCATCTCGGCACAACCCTCACACGTTTCGTGCCCCCTAGTGGGCTCCACCTACGGTCCCAGTGGGCGTGCATGTGTGCCGCCCCCCCCCCCCCCCCGCATTTCGGTGCACCCCTTACGCGTTTCGTGCCCCCATATGGGGGCCCCACCAACGGCCCCAATGGGTGTGCGCGCGCACGCCGTCCCCGGAGCATTTCTGCACACTCCTCACGCGCTTCGTGCGTCCACAGGCAGCGCCACCTGCAGCCCAAGTGGGTGCTACGCATGCCCAACCCCCGGCAGTTCGTCACACATCGCAGGCAGAGGAGAAAGAACAACAAAGACGCGGAGGATCCGCATGCTTTGGGGGTCCAAAACTGGTGCGGTGACAGACCGTGCGGTGACCTCGGAACCCCCAAAGATCTCACCTCACGGTCCGCCAACGCTCAGTTCTGGCTGTGAGTCGCCCGAGACGCCCTCGGAGAGGACGACGCAGGTCCCCAAACCGTGCGGCCACCTCGAATCCCCTTTGGCTCACCACACGGTGGTTACCGCACAGTGTGGGTCCCCCGCCCCGGATCCAGACCCCCGACGTCATGATTTTTCATAACTTGGACCCCCGGAGGTACGGACATCTTCCTGGGACTGGTTCTTGATCCCGAATCGCTTTTTGACGATCTCGAGGCCCAGCAATAGCCCTTGGAAACCCAAAGTAGTAGAAAGCGGTCCATCGTATTTTTTTTCCATGTCCCGAGGGGTCTGGGAACGCCGCGCCCCCCGCGCATCTCTCGAATATTGACATAACACCCTTTAGAACAACGCCCTTTAGTGAAAGCTGCCAGGGGCACTCCATGTGCGCATGGCAACGCATTCCGAGTGGAACCCAGCGGGGTAGCGAATCGACTTTCAAGAAGAACTGATTGTAGCCGGCGAAACGAACGCAACTGAGCGAAACGGACTGGGGACTGCACTGGTACACTCGAATGCCGAGCGAACTGGTGCAGCCTTCCTGAATCGAGTTGTCTGGATGGGCGTTCTCTCAATGCCAGACTGTCGGCACACTGGAAGCAGAAGCACACCCGAGGGGGTCTGGGAATGCCGCCTCCCCTCCTCATCTCTTCTCCCTTCTCTCTCCCCCTCCTCCTCCTCCTGCTGCTGCTGCTGCTCCACCTCCTCCTCCTCCTCCTCCTCCTCCCCCTGCCCCTCCTCCTCCTCCCCTTCCTCCTCCTCCTCCTCCTCCTCCTCCTCCTCCTCCTCCTCCTCCTCCTCCTCCTCCTCCTCCTCCTCCTCCTCCTCCTCCCCCTTCTCCCTCCCCCTCCTCCTCCTCCCCCTCCTCCCTCCCCCTCCTCCTCCTCCTCCTCCTCCTCCTGCTCCTCCTCCTCCGCGAATCTCGACTCACGGGAAGCAGCGGCGCTGGGGATCCGTGCAATCCTCCTCCAGGCCCACGGGAAGCTCCGCGGGGAGCGCCGCTGGAGCCGACACGTCGGCGCCTGCGTGCCACAAGGGCGGGCGAGGCTGCAGAGAAAACACGTGCTCGCGACGGCAAACACATCGACATCAACGGCGCCTGGAAGAAGCAGGGCAGATAGATCTCCGCCCTGCTCACGAGACGGCCCCAAGTACGGCGGATCCGAAGTCAGGGTTATCTCCACTTCCACCCTCCCGCCACGCGCGCGCGGTGCGGCCCAGAACTGCGGGGCCGTGCGTGGGCAGCTCCAAGCCTTGCCGAAGAGGAGGAGGGGGATGTGGAGGACAAGGAGGGGAACCAGAGCAACCAACGATGCATCAACGGTGCTGCAATTTTGCCTCAAGTCGCAACGTCCCTGCAAACTTTGTTTTCACTGCTAGAAGCGCCCCCCCTGGAACAACTAGCGCACCATTTTGGCGAAGGCCCCGCTCTGAAAACGACTTGCTTTTCGCAGTTGCCTTGCATCCTCCTGGCGTGTAATGGATAACGCGAAGACGTATCATCATACGGTTCAACGGGGTGTCCAGCGAAGTGTCGCTTTTGAGGCGGAGACGGAGCAAGAGGAGGCATAGGAGGAAGACGAGAACCACTTTCTCAACTCCACCTCCCTCCTCTGATATGGAATCGAAGGGGCCTGAAAGAAACGGGTCTGGGACCCAGGGCTTCCCCAGATTGTCATCCCGAGTGGTTTTCTGACGGAGCCCGGAGCCTCGGACGGACCGATCCTCTAGAGATCGACACACAAACATAGAAACCGCTCGACTCGGACGGCGAACCTCATCAGAATCCCACCAGCCCTTTGGGCGTAGATGGCCTAACGAGTTCTTTTGTTCCTCTTCCAAAGCCCTCTTCCAATTCGGGGAGGGGGGCCCTCCCCCTCGCCTTCCCTGCGACTTTTGCGGCGGGGGCCGCGATGTGTCAGAGGGGTCTTCTTCGCTCGAAGTGGTTTCACGAAGGCCTCCGATGCTCCGAGATGGCCTCCCAGGCGGCTCAAGATAACAGGACATGTATCACAAGAACTTCCGACATGCTTCCACAAAACCCGGCGAAGGCCGCGAGACGGTTCCAAGTGCTCTCGGAGCCTCGTCAGGACCCCCCCAGGAGGCAAACATCCTTCAAGCATCCGAGGAACAACAATGATGTTTGCCTGGTCGCCTTTTACCTCCCGACGTTTTTTTTTTTTTTTTTTTTTTTTTTTTTTTTTTTTTTTTTTTTTTTTTTTTTTTTTTTTTTTTGTTTTTTGTTTTTTTTGTTTTTGTTTTGTTTTTTTTGTGTTCTTGGCTTTTGTGTTTACGTGCCGCGCGAGCACCTGCCTTCAAGGGTCAGTCCGCTGCAGGCTGCTGCGGGGGGTCAAATGGGCGTGGGCGAGCTCGTGCCTTCAAAACTGGGAGAACATGTTTCAGTCCTTTGGCCAGTGGCGCCGACTGCAGCGTCGGAAACTGAATAGGAAGAGGGCCAAGAGGACAACGGTGCCCATCGCTCGGAAGAAACGATGATGATGGAGGAGGGGAGACTAGAGTGAGGCGGAGGAGGAGGAGGAGGAGGAGGAGGCGGAGGCGGAGGAGGAGGAGAAAGGGGAGAAGGAGGAGGAGGAGGAGGAGGAGGAGGAGAAAGAGGAGGACAGGACAGGACATCCGCATAAAGGGGGTCAACGTCAACATTCCTAGACTGGTGTCTTGCGCGCGTCTGGCAAAATACCCTGCGATAGAGTCGTATGCTGCGCGCTCCATACTTATCCTGGTGCGGGCAGGGGGCATGCCCCGAAGCTCAAGGGGGCGAGCTCCGAAGTGGCCCCGTAAGAGAGGCTCGCTGATTAAGACGAGTCCCCGGGTCAGTGCGAGGGGAACAGCTCCTGGCCAGTTCGCGTGCCCCTCTGGGGGACGCGTTGGCGAACAGGGCTCCCAAGTAGGGGGTTCCCTGAGCCCTTCTTTATTTTGTGAGCCAGAGCGGCTGTGCTCCGAGAAGCCCGCCCCCCGCCTCCCCCCCTCCACCAACACCGGAGCTCCAGCACTTCGAGATGTCCGGGGGAAAGTCACACTTGTACACTAGAAAATCTGGGGAAACAGGCGGCGCAACCAAAGGATGGACCGAGGACGAGAGACAGGGGGAGAGAAAGCAGGAGGACCCTGCACGCCCAGCCCCCGCCGATGGGCCTGATTCAGAATCCACCTGCATCCTGCTGCGCTTCGAACGGAGCAGAGCCCCCCCCCTCCCTCCACCAACACAGGAGCTCCAGGAGGAGGGCCAGCGTAAACCCAAGAGCCATCAAATATGTTGACGTAAACCCTCCCTCCAAGCTCCTCCTTCGTAGGCCCCATACAAGGGTTCAGATCCACTGAGGGAGCTGCCTCGTTGGAAAACAACCGCTTGAAGACCCTGCAACATGCCAATACATTATTCTCGGGACTCCAACGCCACGGATCAACCTGACTCTTGCGTCTTGACGATCCTGAACCGTGCCAAACAACAATTCCTGAGACGTCAACACCGTGAATCAACGCAACTGTTGCGCCCTCATAAGCTGGAATCTTTCCAACCTGCCATTTCTGTTACGTTGACCGTGGGCAACCGTGAAACTCTTGTGCAAATTTTCAAAACGAATGTGCGAGGCGCTGAGGCGAGAACCACATTTTGAAAACGAGCCCCCCTCAATCCGTTAAACTCTGGTAAATCTTAAAAACGAATGCGCGCAACGCTAAAGCGAGAACCACATTTTGAAAACGAGCCGCCCTCAATCCGTGAAGCTGTTGCGTTTTTAAAACGAACGTGCGCGGCGCTAAAGCGAGAACCACATTTTGAAAACCACCCGCCCTCAATCCGAGAAACACATTTGGAAAAACGGATGTGCGCGGCGCCAAGGCGAGAGCCACATCTTGAAAACCACCTTCCATCCATCAGTGAATTTGTCGGCATTTTTTCCCAACCCTCCTTGGTTGGGTATTCGTTTTGAATAGAGCACTGCTCGCGCGTCCTTCCTTTCTTCCTTCCTCCCGCCTCCTGTCTCCCGCTTCCCTCTTGTCTCCTCTTGCTTCGTGCGTTCCCCTTGTGTGTGCATCCTGCCGTCGCTGGGGGGCTGCGATCTGCGAAACTGTCGCCACTTTCGAGGGCTGCTGGTGGGTCCAACGGAGTGAGGCACCGCGCAGATCTGAGCGGAACCTCGCCGTCCCTGGGGGGCTGCGACTTGCGAAACTGTCGCCACTTTCGAGGGCTGCTGGTGGGTCCAGCGGAGTGAAGCACCGCGCAGATCTGAGCGGGACCTCGCCATCCCAAGGGGGCTGCGATCTGCGAAACTGTCGCCACTTTCGAAGGCTGCTGGTGGGTCCAGCGGAGTGAGGCACCGCGCAGACCTGAGGTAGACCTCGCCGTCCCTGGTGGGCTGCGACTTGCGAAACTGTCGCCACTTTCGAGGGCTTCTGGTGTGTCCAGCCGAGTGAGACACCGCGCAGATCTGAGCAGGACCTCGCCGTCCCTGGGGGGCTGCGATCTGCGAAGCTGTCGCAACTTTCGAGGGCTGCTGGTGGATCGCATCAAGAACAAAACTGCCGGTCGCATCAAGAACAAAGTTGCCGGTCGCGAGGACGACAACGCATAGTTCTGCATCGACATCAAGGCCTTGTGCGAGGACGGTTCGGATACGCCAGGCGGCAGGCGCCAGAAGGTCGGCGACCTCAAGGAAGAGGCCGATATCCAATTGTGGACTTGCTGATCCAACGACGCGGCCAAGGAGAAGCCCAGCTCCCATGGCAACCAGAAGCGGAACCTGTTGGGCAACGGCTACATCTAGAACGAGCTCACGGGGTTGTGCCTGGTCGCGCACCAAGGTGACGAGTCCGACGCTACCACGACGGGCGGCGCCACCGTTCACGCGCACGCCTGCCCCAAGGAGGCAGCAGGCGCCGACCCCGAGTTCGTCTTCGACTTCGAGACAAGCGACATGGCCGCGGAGATCAACGCAGCAGAAGCTATGCCTGAGCGCCTCTCCTCCGTCTACTCCACGGTCGAATCGAAGGCAGCGCTCGGGCTGTCCGAGGCGGCGCAGTCGGGCCCCCGGCTGGGCGCCGCCGCCTGCGCGCTGGGCGTTGCGGCGGCCGCGGTCGCCCTCGCGCGCCGCGGCCGCCAGAGCGCTGAGCAGGCGGCGAAGCAGCGGCCGCCGCCGACGGCGCCCGAGGCGCCCGAGTGAGCAGCGGCAGAGAGGGACGTGGAGAAGCGGCTGGAGGGCGACCTCGGCAGTCCAATTACCAGGCCGGCAGGTTCAAGAAGAAAGCTTCCTGCCAGAGACCCCGGCATCGAGCCAAGCCAGCGGGTTTCAATAGACCGACCGCTGCTGCTCCTCCTCCTCCTCCTCGTCCTCCTCCCCCCTCCTCCTCCTCCTCGTCCTCCTCCTGCCCCTCCTCCTCCTCCTCCTCCCTCCTCTCCTCCTCCTCCTCCTCCTTCTCCTCCTCCTCCTCCTCCTCCCTCCTCCTCCTTCTCCTCCTCCTCCTCCTCCTCCCCCTCCTCCTCCTCCTCCTCTCCTCCTCCTCCTACTCCTCTTTCCTCCTCCTTTCCTCCTCCTCCTCCTCCTCCTCCTCCTCCTCCTCCTCCATCCTCCTCCTCCCCTCGCCCCTCTCTCCATGGATCCGCCGAGCTCTGTTTCAGTACATGTGTGTCTTCGTCTCGTGGGCAGTGCTTCTGACACCAGCAAAACACTGCAATAACAACAGAAGTGAAGATGTGGGTCGAGTAGGAAATTGGCTAAACAAAAACCGTCACATCTTCACTTCTCTTCGAGCCCCCAAACGGCCCTCAGAGAGCCCAAGATCGGCCCGAAAGCGCCTCAAGAGGCGATTTTGATAGCCCCAGGGGGGCCCCCCTCCACGGCTCCTAAGAGGGCACCCAAAACGCCCAAGAGCCCCCCAAAAGCGCCCACGAGGGCCACAACATGCGTTTTGCCTCCTCCTTCTCATCCTGCTCCTCCTCCTCCTCCTCCTCCTCCTCCTCCTCCTCCTCCTCACAACTCACAAGTAGCACGCCAGCGCAGTCGGACGCGGCCCGCACGCCTCCTCCTCCTCCTCCTCTCCTCCTCTCTCCTCCTCTCCTCCACCTCCTCTTCCTCCTCTCCTCCTCCTCCTCCTCCTCCTCCTCCTCCTCCTCATCCTCCTCCTCCCCCCGCCTCTGTTCTCCATGGATCCGCCGAGCTTTGTTTCACTACATGTATTTCTTCGCCCCTTTTCCCGTCAGCGTCTCATGGGCAATGTATCTGAACGGTCTGGTGGGGATACGCGAAGCCGCGAAGCCTGAAGAACTACTCCAGCAGAACAGTCTAACAGCAGCAACGGTGAAAAGGCGGGTCGAATAGAAGGTCGGCTAGTGAAAACGTGCATTCCTGAGTATTCCTAAGGATTCCTGGGACACGCACCGTCAAGCGCACCTTAGCAAATGTGCTACAGGGGCCGAACATGTAGCCAACATTGACTCGAGAACACAATTCTGGAATAACTGGTGAGAAATTTCAAGCGAAACGGCAGCATGGACCAAGCGGCCTCGAGCTCCCCGCTCCCCCTGTCGGACTCTGCTGCGGTCTTCTCCTACTACTATTAGGAACCTCTGGCGAAACGCTGCTAATGAATCAATCCCTGGACTTCGAGGAGTCAGTCCTGGCAAACTTTCCGAGCCGCCTCCAACTTTGGCGACGATGACCTCCAAAGGCGCTCAGAAATCTCTGAAGCAACGGCGCCAATGACCCGGAAAATCGAATGTCGGATTTCTCTGCGCTGTGGCCAAGACGTCGAGCCAAATTCGGACGTAGCCTCGGGAAGTCTCCTGGAAACCCATGCACGACCGGACACGATCAAAATCCTGGATCCTGGACGCTCGAACCCGTGAGCCCTCGATCCCCGACCCAGGGCAAGCGGCAGCCGCCAGGCGACCGACACGCGAGGACGGAGAGAGAGAGAGAGAGAGAGAGAGAGCAGAGGAATCAACATCGACGTGTGCATAATCTTTCGGAGGCCCGCGCCGATTTTCTGGATCGGCGCTGAACTCCCCTGGCGGCGCCTCTGGCGTATCCCCTGGCCCTGGCGCACTTCGCGCGCCAGGGCAAGGAATCCAGCAGAGATCCAAAGAATCGGCGCGGATCTCTGGAATTCTACATTTATGTAGGTTTGTTTGTTCCCAACCATCCAGTGGTGTTGGGTCCTCGATTTGAATCAGCAGCGCCCCACGTCCTTCTCTCCTCTCCTCCCCCCTCCTCCCTCTCCCTGCCTGTGCCCCCCGCGGTCTTTGCTTCGGCGCACCCCTCACGCGTTTCGTGGCCCCGTAGGGAGCTCCACCTCAGGCCCCAGCGGCTGGGTTCGCATGCCTGCTTCACACCATTTTGGCGCATTCCTCGCACCCTTCGTGGCGCATGGGGAGATCCACCTACGGCCCCAATGGCTGGGTTCCCACGCCTTCTTCAGAATCATTCGGCGAATCCCTCGCACGTGTCGTGGCGCCATGGGGAGCTACACGTAAGACCCCCATGCATGGGTTTGCGTGCCTTCTCCGCACCATGTCGGCGCACCCCTCGCACGCGTCGTGGCGCCATAGGGAGTTCCATCTACGGCCTCAGTAGCTGGGTTCGCATGCCTTGTCCATACGATTTCGGCGCACTCCTCACACGTTTCGTGGCCGCCTGGCGAGCTCTACCTGTGACCAGAGTGGCAGGCCCCGCACGCCTTTTCTGCCATTTCGGCGCACGCCTCACACGTTTCGTGACCCCGTAGGGGCTCCACCGAAGGCCCAAGTGGCGAGGATCGCATGCCTTCTCCACACCATTTCGGCGCACCCATCACACGTTTCGTGGCCCCATAGGGAGCTCCTCCTACGGCCCCAGTGGCTAGGTTCGCATGCCTTATCTGCACAATTCTGGCGCACGCCTCACATGTTTCGTGGCTCCATACGGAGCTCCATCTAAGGCCCCAGTGGCCAGGTCCGCATGCCTCTTCCACTCTCCACACTATTTTCGGCGCACCACTCACATGTTTCGTGGCCCCAAAGGGGGCTCCACATATGGCCCCAATGGCTGTGCATGCCTTCTCCGCAATCTTTCGGCGCGCCCCTGGTACGTTTCGTGGCTCCTTAGGGAGCTCCACCTGAGGCCCCCAAGCGAGGACTCTCGCGTGTGTGACGGCGCCTATCTCGGGACACCCCTCTGCCTACTGCTGCCCAATGCCGCGCCGACAACCGCGCAAATCAGCCATAGTTTACATCCAGATGTAACCCGTCACGGCCGACCCCTGCGACCCCGTCAGCAATGTCACGTCGCTCCGTCCCTGTCACGTGCGCCTTGATCCTCTTTGCTAACCTTTCCCTTAGTTCCCACCTGTCTTGCGAAACCCACAGCTGCATATGGTCGGGTCCTTCGCCAGGCTATGTTTTGTTCGTTCTTCCTCGTCCACCTCCTCCCCCTCCTTTCTCCAACTCCCTTGGGCTTTGAGCTTTCCCCCACGTCCCGTCGTTCTCCTTCCTCCCCCCCCTCCAAGCATCGCGGGGGAGTCAGATGCCCCGCCCGCCGGAGGGCTCTGCTTTCCTCACTCTACTTTACATCTGCCTAGCTTGATCCCGTCCAGCGGCGGCCGCCGCTCTGGGGTGGGGTGGGGTGGCAACGTTCCTGATCGAACCCGAGGAAGAGGCGGATGATGCGGCATTGGAGGAGTCAAATTAATTGAGAGACAGAGACGCAGACAAAGACGGGGGTGGGCCACCAAAAGCGCGTCCTGTTACCGGACACGGCTCAGGAACCATAAGAATATGGAGAAGTGCGCGCCGAGCGCGACCACGTCAAGAGGGGGAGACAGAGATGGAGAAGGAGAGGGCGAAGAAGAGGGAGAGGAACAGACAGGGCGCATGTCGAATGCGACCACGCTGAGAGACAGAAATAGAGAGAGGGAGAGAGAGAGAGAGAGCGAGACAGAGAGAGAGAAATAACAGAGGAAGAAACACAAAGGAGAGGGATAAGAGAAGGCGCCCCCCCTCCCCCTGCCCGCCTGCGCCAACGGCGGCTGTGCCGGCGGCGCGGGCCCTACCCGCTCTCGGGTGAGGGCAGGCGCCGTCGTCGTTGTCGCCGTTGCCGTCGTCGTCGTCGCCGTCGCCGTCGCCGTTGCCGTCGCCGTCGCCGTCGCCGTCGCCGTCGCCGTCGCCGTCGCCGTCGCCGTCGTCGTCGTCGTCGTTGTCGTCGTCGTCGTCGTTCCGCCTAAAACCGCGTGGGGACCTCCAGCGGCCTCCAGTATACCCCAGGGACCTCCACGGAAGAGCGCTCTGAGCGAGGGTGTTCAGTGCCGCCCAGACGAGGGGCGAGGGCAGCCTGGACCCAGAGGCCCGACGCCTTGTTTCCAACCATCCTGTTGTGCTGAGGTCCCCGCTCTGACTCAGCAGCACCACGGCCCACTCCTCCTCATCCCCCTCCTCCCTTCTTCCTCTGCCCTCCGCATGTCCATTTCGGCACAGCCCTCCCACGTTAAGTGGCCACATGGGAAGCTCCACCGAAGGCCCGAATGGCAGGGTTCCCATGGCAGCACCACGCCCAATTCGGCACACCACTCACTCGTTTTGTGGCCAACCGAAGGCCCAAATTGCAAGGCTCGCGTGGCGGCACCGCGCAAATTTTCGGCACACTCCTCACACGTTTCGTGGCCCCATGGGGAGCCCCACCGAACGCCCGGATGGCAGGGCCCGCGTAGCGGCACCGCGCGCATCTCGGCACACTCCTCACACGTTTCGGGCACCATAGGGAGCACAAGTGCCCGAATGGCAGGGTTCGTATGTCGGCACAGCGCCCATGTCGGCGCACCCCTGATGCGTTTGGCGGCCCTCATCCGCGCTGAGCCAGCCAGCCAGTCAGCCAGCCTCAATTGCTGTCCCTTTCGCAGCGCGCTAGTGTCGGGGAGAGGGCCATACCCTGCGGTACTCGCAGCTGCATATGGTTGGGTCCTTCGCCAAACTATTTTTTAATATGTGGTTTTTGAAAATCCAGACCCTTTCCCCAATGCTGGCTTTTCATCCCGAGTCGTTTTTGTCCGGCGGCCCAGGAGAGCGAAGCAACCTACTCCCCAACACACAACCAAGAACCTTCAGAACTTGGTTAGAACGAGGGGTGCCCGTGACAGGGGGGAATACGAGAGTTAGGAGGGGGAGCAGGAGGATGGGGGATGAGGAGGAGGAGGAGGAGGAGGAGGAGGAGGACAATGAGGAGAAAGAGGAGGAGGGAGGAGGAGGAGGATGAGGAGGAGAAGGAAGAGTAGGAGAGACATGATTAGGAGGGGGAGGAGGAGGGCGAGGATGATGATCATACAGGAGCAGCTGGGGAAGAGGAGGAGAAGAGAAAAACGATGATGAAAAGGAGCAGGAGGGGTAGGCAGAGGAAGGGGCGTGGGATGAGGAGGGGACGGAGGAGCGAATGGGAAGGGAGAGGAACGAATGGGAAGGGAGAGCGAATGCGAAGGAGAAGGGAGCTTGAGAAGGAGGAGGGGGAGGAGGCGGAGGAGGAGGATGAGGCGGAGGAGGAGGAAAAGGAGGAGAAGGAGGAGGCAGAGGAAGAGGAGGATGAGGAGGGGGCGTCCGGGAGGAAGAGACTTCACAGCGTCGTAGTTGTGCGCTGGCGCTACTCGACGGACAAAGGGCAGACTGACCACCGCCGTGAGCCCTCACGGTGCTCACCCCTCCTTCTCCTCCTCCTCCTCCTCCTCCTCCTCCTCCACCACCTCCTCCAAGAGAGAGAACACGCACCGAAAATCCGAGCTTTCCACCCCAAGAAAGAAGCCCCCAGGAGGCCAAAACCGGCCCCCAAGAGGCCCAAAGAGACCCCAAGAGGCCCCGAAGAGGCCCAACAGGTGCCCCCCGAGGCCTCCAAATTACCCCCAAGAGGTCTCCGAACTGCCTCAGACTGGCCCCCGAGAGGTCTCCCACGAGATCCCAACGAACATCCAATAAGCTTCATACCCACAACCCAGGCACGGTGGCGGGATGGACCGAAGGCCATTCGATACATTGCTTTAAGAATATGCTTCTCGCCTCGTCCCCCCAACTGTAGCAAGAGGCCCAAGCCTCGAGGAGCGCGGAGCAGAACGTAACGCGCCGCTCTTAGCAGCCTGCCATAGGCATAAGTGTTTGCCAGTGTGGATCCACAAGTAGTGGGCTCTTGCACTCTCGATGTGCAATCTTTGTGGTGCAATCTGTGTACGATTCGATGTGCGCGCTGCTTTCTACGTGGTGCAGGGTATGGGGTACAACACATGTGATGCAATATGTTCAGGGCGCGACACATGCACTGAATCCTGTAGCTGTCAAGCATAGGGTACAGCCTAGGCCTATGTTATGCAGAAACTATGTGGTGCAACACATCGGGTGCAGCATCTGTGTGCAAGCTGAATGCGTGGGGAAATCTGAGGCGGGCATGGGCGGGCAACCAGCGAAAGCCTGGAAACAACAGCCAACGCACGAGGCGGCCACGAAGTGGCCATGGGCGGCTCTGGGCGAAAACCCGAGACCCCGGCCGATTCCTCACGAATCAAGCAAGAACATCTCAATGCAAGCACTGCTTGGGGAATTTTGGAGATTCGCACGGCGCCGTCCACGGCGACAGCACGGCCGGAAACTAGCCGAGCCGACAGCGAAAACGAGGCCGACCGAAACCGACAGACCCCAAGCAATTTAGGAGGGCGCAGCGACGCAACAACTGCTTAACAGCCGACCGAACCGGACCGACCTGACGCAACCGACCGTAAGGCAGCCAAACCGAGCGACTCGCAGAAATCCTTTCCGGAGGAAGGCCAATGTAGACAATGGCGGCTCCCTTGCCCAGCCCACATCCGGTTAAAATTGGTCCCCAGACATCTCTGGGGTCAATCCTGACCCGTGTTCCAAGGCGGACCCAGCCGTGGCGACGAGAAGCCTCCAGGATGCCCCAAAATGACAAACAACCCCAGAGCGGGCCGCGGCTGTTTCGACTGGCCCTCCTCCGACGATAGACCGAACTGTGGACACCCTTGTTTTGCCCTGCGATGAAAACCGCAAGACCGACGACTCCCAGACGCAGATCGCCCGCTCGGGCGCACTTCAAACAAAAAGAGGGTCGCCGCGGAGGGGCCGCCCTGCGTCATAGCCGCCCCCTGAGCCCGTCGTCGGGTTGGCGGGGGCCGGCGTTCCAAATGGAATCGGGAGGATCCTCCTCCTCCTCCTCCTGCTCCATTCCTCTTCCTTACAAATAACTCCTTCCTGTCGCACCACGAGGCCAGTCGGAAGGGTGGGCCGGGCGTTTCGCCTGAGACTTCCTTACTACTTATGATCCTGAAACATAAAGAGTTGGCAGCATTTTCATCGATGGTGGGCGACTTCGAAATGGTGGCTCTCGCCTTAGCACCGCACGCATCATTCGCTTTAAACACTTGCAAGAGTTTCGCGGATTTGAGGACGGGCGCTTTTCAAAATATGGCACTCGCCCTCGCGCCGCACACACTTGTCTTTAAAACAGCTACAAGTGTTTCACGGATTGGGGGCGGCTCCTTTCTCAAATGTGGCTCTCGTGTTAAGGCCGCGCACACAAATTCGTAATTCACATTTGCAAGATTCTTACGGATTCCCACGGTTAGCGCACCAGAAACGGTGTTTTGGAGCGACTTCGGATTGCCAGGGCGTAACAGTTATGCTGATTCGCGGTGCTGAAGTCGCAGGACTGGTGTTCTTGAGCGATTCAGGATCGTCAAGACGCAACAGTCAAGTTGATTCGCTGATTCGTGGCACTGAAATTCCAGGATATATGTTCTGGCACGCTTTAGGGTCTTCAAACGGTTGTCTCCAAACGGGCACTTCCCCCAGTGGATATGAGTCCTTGTAGGGGCGTATGAAAAGGGAGCTTGGAGGGAGGATTTATGCCAAAGTCGCTGATGAATCTTGGGTTTACTCTGGTTCTTCTCCTCCTCCTCCTCCTCCTCCTCCACTGAGTGGGAACGACAAGGGGGAACGGCTTATTGGGAGGGGAGACTCCGACTTGTCATCGGCTGCACATCGCCGATATATCGGCGATGGGCCCGCGATAGCGAATCAGCACGCTCTGGGCGGGGTGGACTATGCCCTGAGCCTGTGCCCCCTGAGCGTTGCCCATGATCCACTGCAAGCTGCGTTGCTGAGACCCCCCCCGCGCACGCGTTCGTCTCGCCCTGGGATTATACGGACCTTGAGTGCACACCACGACGGACGCTTTCGACCATCGTGCTTCTCAGGGTGGTGACATCGACAAGCTGGGCACACTGACGGGGTTTTGAGGTGCCCCAGGACCACTACTTCGAATCCTCATCCTTCCACTTTAGGGTTGAGCACGAATGAAAAGCTATTTCCCTGGAGCCGATGAACAGCTATTTTCCCTGGAGCCGAAGGTCTGTTACAACGCATAAGATGGAGTTTGCGCAAGGCGTGCATCTCGTCGTCCACCCCGCTGCAAGAGAAACCTCGTGCAGGCCTACCCCCTCGTCAGCAACCATCATCCTGAAGAAACCTGGAGATTGAACTCTTGCTCCTCCCCCTCCTCCTGCGGTTGCCAAGGATGACGGAGGAGGAGGAGGAGGAGGAGGAGGAGGAGGAGGAGGAGGAGGAAGAGGCAGAGGAGGAGGAGGAGGAGGAGGAGGAGGAGGAGGAGGAGGAGGAGGAGGAGGAGGAGCAGGAGCAGGAGCAGGAGGCGGAGGAAACACTGGAGGAGGAGGAGGAGGAGGAGGAGGAGGAGGAGGAGGAGGAGGAGGAGGAGAGGAGGAGGAGGAGGAGGAGGAGGAGGGGGAGGAGTGGGAGGAGTGGGGAGAAGGGGAGGGGGGGAGGGGACGGTGGTGGAGGGATAAGGTGAAAGGGGTGGTGGGGGAGGAGAGAGAGAAGAGGAGGGAGGAGGACCGCCTCTGATATAGCACTCCTACATCATCGCGTCCCCCCTGGACTTTCTTTGCTTCATATTCTGACCTATGAAACAATTAATCGGTATCCGAAACATAGTGTGCGCTCCTCCTCCCTCTCCTTCCCATTCATCCTCCTTCCTCCCTCCTGC